TTTCCAATCATAATTTTGCATAATTTTATTATATTTTTTTTTTTAATTAAAAAAAATTGCTCAAAATCAATTAAATAATTAATATTAATTCTTTGATGAAAATGTATCCATTATTTCTAATATTATTATAATAATTTTACAATTTAAGGGATTTTTTTGTTTGGCATTAATGCTCTACTCTCTACCTATAAAATAATACTTATTTAAATAATGAATTGTTTTTTAATAAGTTATTTAGGAATTTAAAATTCAATTATTTAACTTCAGTACTTATTAGACATTAGTTATATTTTTTATTTACCTATTATTTATAAATATGCAGTTAGTTATTGTATCTACATGACATAAATTCAAGTCTATAAACATTAAGCTTTGTATTAAATATTCATATTCAATTATAATTTATTTTTAAGTATATAATTGTGTACGTACCAAAAATTCAAATATTGCAGCACTTAACTATGTCATCTGTTGTACTAAAGATCTATTAATCCTAACAATATTGGTTTGTGTACTGTACATTTTTTAAAATCAATCTATATAATATTTCAAGTAAGAGACTTTTCGAGTACATTTTTATCTTATCATAAATAGTAGAAAAAAATTATTTTATTAATAATTTTTAATCTAATATGTAAACCTTCTTTAATTAGGTTGTAGAAGTGTATGCAATATAGAATATAAACTGTTATTGTATGTCTAATATGTATACAATAGTTATCATTTCAGATTACATTAAATCTAACTAAAATTGAAAACCAAAAATCTTTTTTTAAAGGAGATATTTTTAATATTGTCTGTTAATTATTTCATACTTGTGGATAATTGGTAGATCCTATAAGAATGAGTTGTCTATATTGATTCTTAATTTATGTTTGGAAGTCATAAAATATGTTCAATAATAAAGAATCTATCAATTTAAGTTATTTGACTGAATTGAAAAGACCTAGAAATTAAATGTTTTAAAATCTTAATTATGTATCATTTATTATAATTTATAATTTGAAATTTAATCAGTTACTATAAGTACAAATTTTAAAATTGTAATTTATTTAAAGGTGCCCACAGACATTTTCATTGTAAGGGAGACCAATGCATATTAATATATACCATAACTATAACATATTTAATAAATTTAACATTACAAAAGAAATGTATACCCTATAAAAAGAATAAGCAAACTTGGCCACCTTTTGTGAGCTTAGATGTTTAGTGTATTTAGTTTCTATATTTCAAGTTTTAAAAATAAATAATATTTAGTTTTTTGAAAAATATTTCGTTCTTTAAACTTTTGAGTATTTTAGCATTTGGCATTTTTTATTATATTTAATGCAAACCAGTATAAAGTTGTTAAATTTATTAATATTATTTATATTAATTAAATAATTTTGTATTGATTATAAATTTTGGTTATTCAAGTACTAAGTATAATTTTTAAATAAAGATATTTTTTCTTCTTACTGTATAGTATAATAAGTACAAGTAAATAATTATAAGTTATATATAATAAAAAAAAATGTTAGTAGATTATAATGAACTATATTATAAGTAAAACTATATCTTTTATATTTTAGAAATTCATCAAGCCGCCAAAGAAACTGTGGCATTAGCTGAGGCACGGTTTCTTAGTAAACAACATGAATGGAAATTTGATAATGCGTGGCAAGAAATGTTAAATAATGCTATTTTAAAGGTATTTAAGTATAACGAGAATTATAGTCATAGTAATCATTATTATTATTATTATTATTATTTTTATCTTTTACTTTTACTTATATAGTTTTAATTTTAATAAATTTTTATAAAAGTTTATATTATTACATTTTTTATTTCAAATATCAATAATATTACCTATTATCCGCAGGTAACAGAAGCAGAAAATCAAAAGACTGAAAGTGGACGTGAGCATCAAAGGAAAGCTGCTCTCTACCAAGCTGCAGAACAAAAGGTTTATTGTAAATCTACATTCATATACTTAAATTTAATATTTAAATAACATTTAATTTTAGGTTCAAATGCTGGAACAAAAGTTTAAACGTAGTATTATTAAGTCTCGTCCATATTTTGAAGAAAAATATTTATGCGAAGGTCAATTAGCAGCACAAAAAGATACTATTATTCAAATCCGATATGCTGTGCAACGAGCTAAACAAGAATATTCAGCTTGTTTGCACAGACTTGAACAGATCTCTGAAGAAATTCATGTGCAAAGACAAAACAATAAACTAATGGTACTTACATTTTTTTAATTTTAAACATCTCAAACAGAATTTATCAATGTTGATATATTCTTTGACAGGAATGTTCGTTACAAGGTCCACGAGAACCTGGCGTTGGTGCAGAAGTTTCTTCTATGGTCAACAGCTGGCAAGAGCTGGATAACAAAAAAGATTCCAATGGCATGGAAGATATAAATTTAGATTGGAATTTGGATAAATGTGATTCAAGAAGCCTGGGTAGTCTATCCATGGACACTAGTTCTATTTTGAGTGATGCAGATGACTTGGATTTTGATGATGATAGCCAAGTGACGATGGTATTTAAATATTTTCAATAATCTGTCTGAGTATAAAGTTAATAATCCTATTTTGTCTCAATCATAACAGGAACTTGAACAACTTCGTCAAAAAGTACGTGATCTCGCTACTAAACCTTTAATGATGGAAACTAAAAGAACTGAAAAAGTTGAAGGTGTGGAAGATCGCAAAGGTTGGGAAAGTGAGTTAAATGCTACTGTTGATAAATTGGATCAAATGATGTTGAAACAGGAGTGTGAAAAATCACAACAGCAATCACCCGTTTAGTACATAATTAGTATAAATCAAAATTTGTTAGGCTTTCAATAAATTGGTCTATGGAGAAAATGTTTACCTAAAATATATTGAGATAGGAAATCAAATTGTTCATATTAGTCTTGTCTTAATGAGTGTTATGTTTTCTTGTTCTTATTGTTAAAGATGATTTATCGATTAATATTAACTTCACACTTATTTTTCCATTTGGAAATTGTAAATCAAGGTAGCTAGAATCGAGCACAACACCATTTAATCCTATTATAACTAATTTAAGATTGTAGGTAACTTAATGTTAATTGGCTGTATAATTCAATGTGGATGTATATTTGTTTATTATAAAGCAATAATGTTTTAAATAACATAGTTTATTGTAATTATTTACCATGTTACAAACTAATTAATCTCGTTAATAATTAGATAGGTACTAAAAATCAACAACTTCATTCGATAGCAGTGGTTTATTTAAAATTTTGTTCCATTACAGAGATAATGTTACCCAAATGACAACAAGATTAAAATATATTTTTTTTTTTTTTTAGTTTTTTTTTTTTATTATTGTATAATTTCCTAATGCCATTCTATTTTATTTATGCATTTTTTTTTTTCTTAATGATGTAACTTATTTTTATAAATAAATTTTAAATATAACATTGTTTATAATCATTATGAAAAAAAAACATAATTTATTATAATATATATCTTATGTATAAAATATGTTAAACGATAAAAGAAATCTATGATGGTCCAACAGATTTATATTTTTGTTCTTCATTCTTCCAATATTTTCTTTTCTTTTTAACAAGATCTTAATTGTAGTGTCTCCGTGCTCCTCTTGATTCTAAAAATGCAAAAATTTAGTATTTTAAAATATTATTGGTGCTTTTTCTTCTTTTTAAAATATCAGTTGTGATTTCTATTCTAAGTTTTTGAACAATTATGTTACTAACATTAAATTCTAATAAAATGTAAAATTTGTGAATAAATTATAAAATAATGCAATTGTGTAGGAACATAATGTTAATTCTAACATAAATTACATCGCTATATTATATTATGTACAAGAATGAGTAAAAGTAGAAATTAGATTTTTTTCATTTAAGTCCAAAAATTAAAACCTCTTTGCTAACTGAATTCTCATAAATAATAAATTATTTTTACGAAATATGTATTACATTAGTCTGTATAATTACTGAGTACATTACTAAAATATTATACTTATACATATAATCTCCAAATTGCTGTATAGTACCTATACATTATTAATTTTAATATAAAATTGATTTTTCAATAGTATTTTTTCATATGTTAATGTTGAAATATTTAAATAATATATTATTGAATTTTATTTATCAATAAATCTGATCAGGGGAGTGCTCACGGTGTAAGAAACAAGAGTGTTAGATCTGCCGCTCTTTGGGTTTGACTTATTTTTAATATTTTTTCTGTGTAATTTTAATTGTTCGTATAAGTTAAGTTGATTAATAGAAATAAAATGTATGGTAAAGTAGTGAAAGCATACTTACCGCCATCACGAAATGATTTGTGCCAAGATTTAATTAATATCTAACTAATAAGTAATAGCATGTCATAAATCATAATATTTGAATTCTACTTGCACAAGATTTATAATATATTATTATAATTAACTAGCACCCGCAAGTACCTAAATGTAAAAATATAATTTTTTTTTTTTTTTGCTATAGTGTGATCTAGGAATAATCAAAAATTCATATCCTTTCCCCTTAAAAACATTTAACACGCCACTACATTTGACGATGATATAAGTATTTAATTCAATCTTTATAGTTTATAATATCCTAAATACTAAATCCTTATAATATTTGTGTTTACTAAAAAAAAAAGTTGCATGTTATAATTAGTAAATATAAACATAAACATTACCTACTTTATGATATCACATGTCAGTAAACACTACATTATTATTTAATATTTACTATATCTACTTAGTTTATATACTACCTGCCACCTGGTAACTGATAGTGTCATTATGCTCAACTCAATAAAATAATTTAGTTAACTATGTTTTAAATATAGTATTATATAGATGTAAAATAAAAGAATCAGTTAATGTTTTTTAAATAGTAAAATTAAAAAAAAAAAAAAACTATTCTTGGTTAGACAGTAAAAATTTAACAAGATAACTGGAAAAAATTCAATATTTCAAGTTTTTCAAAATACCTTCTCTCCAATAAAATTCTTATGAAATTTATTTATCATTAATAAATAATAAGCGAAAGTTTCAAGTTTCAAACATTGATGGTTTTAAATAAAAATCTAGAATGTTTTAATAAATAAAAAAATAGATGCGTTACATAATTCAAATTTTTTTCCTTACACATTACATAGGACGTAGGTATCACTTATTTAACCCTTCAACGCCTGGTGTGACCGTATGGTAACACAACAAAATCTATTTATAAATCAGACGTAAACAACGTCTGTGGGTTTATTTTTATTATCTAATCATTGCAATAGATTCTCAGTATGTTTATCGATTTTATTAGCACTGTGGTTACCAACTAATGACAGTTTATAATATTTATAACGATTTTTCCGTTTTATTCAACTACAGAAATTTTTACAGCAATGGATTTTCAACTGGAGTAAGTATAATTATATATAAATATTTTATTTAAATGTATTATTAATATTTGTTTTGAATCTTTGTGTGTATATACTTTATCCTAAAAAGGTTTTAGTTGCACATTACTATTACATACTGTGTAGTAGACTTGGAAATGTGTGTGTTACCGTATGGGTGCTTTAGGCTTTTGTCTGATGAAAACAAAACATATATTGATAATACATATATTTTTCTATAATAATTTATAAAATATAATTTTTATAGTATATACAGTATTAAAAATATTATTTTTTTTAACTATAGAGATGGATTAACCTTACAAGAAGTTCTCGACATCATTGAGTCAAATTATGACGAAAATGATGTCGAAAGTATATTTATTGAACCACCAGACCCTCACGTATTGACTGATGAAGATTCAGGCAATGAGGATGAAGGTGCATATACTTCTAATTTATCAGCTCGTCAATTAACTGCCGGAGCAGAAATAAGGTACCTAATATATTTTATTCTTCAATGAAAAAAATGCAGTATACTATTTATTATTATTACAGTACTTATAATATTTAAAAAAATTTTTTCAAGGTTGAAAAGTGGAACTAATATTGTAGATGAAAATACGATTGCCCTCGAAATTGTTGATGAGTTGGAAGACACTGGTTTCAAAATACCTGATAATGAAAAAACTACTGAATGGGTAAAAGGTGATTATGAAATGCCCAATTTAAATTTCCCATCTACAGATTTTTCTAAATATTCGCATATGAGACCAGTTGAAATATTTGAACTTTTTTTTGATGATAAACTTATTTCATATTTAGTAGAGCAATCCAAACTATATGCACTTTTCAAAAATGTTAATGATTTCGATGTCACTAATGATGAAATTAAATGCTTTATTGGTATATTGATACTAAGTGGATATAATGGACTTCCTGGAAAACGGTTTTATTGGGACTCATCAGATGACGTAGGGAATTCATTAGTCAAAGATTCGATGCGCAGAGATCGCTTTATTTCAATTATGCGTTTTATACATTGTGCTAATAATAATGAAATTAATGTAAACGACAAAGTTTGGAAACTGAGGCCAGTAATGGATATGTTAAAAGATAAATTTTTAATACATTTCGTACCCTCTCAAAATTTAAATTACGATGAATCAATGGTTAAATATTTCGGAAAACATAGCTGCAAGCAATTTATACGTGGCAAACCAATCCGATTTGGATATAAGATTTGGTGTTTGAACGCTCCTGACGGGTATCTTATAAATTTTGATTTTTACCAAGGAATTAGTCCAAAAAGAAAAATATTGTACGAAAACATGTTTGGGAAATGCACAGCTCCATTTATAAAAATGCTCGAAGAATTTCCTAAGGAAAAGAAAAATTTACCATACAGATTTTATTTTGACAATCTTTTTACTGGCCTTAACTTGCTCAAGTTTTTAAAAATAAATGGTTATCACGGTACTGGGACTATAAGAGAAAATAGATTGCCTAAAAATTGTCCAATGTCAAATCAAAAAATTATGCAAAAAAAAGAAAGAGGAGAATCAGAATCAGCAATTGAAAAAAATAGTGGAATATTTTTTGCAAGATGGAAAGACAATGGGGTAGTCACCATTGGTTCAACAGTACACGGGATAACCCCACAAAGTAAGACCAAAAGGTACTCTAAAACACAAAAGAAAATTGTGCAAGTTGATATGCCAAATTGTGTTTTTATGTACAATAAATACATGGGTGGAACCGATCAAATGGATGAAAACATAGCTCGCCATAGAATTGGAATTCGAGGAAAAAAGTGGTGGTGGTCTTTATTTACATGGCTGATTGATGTTTCTATAACCAATTCATGGAAACTTTATGTTAATTCTGGTCATAAAGTTACTCAGTTAGAATTTAGACGAAATATTGTTCAGGAATATCTAACACGTTTCAAAAACGCACCAAAAAGAAAAGGACGACCAAGTAGCACATCATCAAAAGTTCCAGAGGGTATTCGTTTTGATCGCCTTGACCATCATGTCATACCAACAATTGATGGTAAAAGAAAAAGATGTGCTGGAGCAATGTGCACTTCTTCAGTTCGAACAATGTGTTTTAAGTGCGATGTTGGACTTTGTGTTGACTGTTTTAAAACATTTCATACAAAATAATTTTATTTTTTATTTTTTAAATTTACTTAGGTTTATGTTATAACATTTTTTTATATATTTTAAAATAACTTTTATATTATAACTAAAAATTAATAATTAATAGCACTTGGAATTGTCATTACCTTATATTTATATTTCAATATTAAATAAAACAACAGATGAGTACTACAAAATTATGAATATTTTTATTTTATTATTTTATAAACATTATATTACTATAATTACAGCTCATTATAGCCTAGTGTGACCATATGGTAACATCAGTTTTCTCAGAAATTGCCTAAGTAAAAAATTTCAAAGCATTTTATTTGTATTCCAGTAATATACCTGACTTCTAAATTGGATAATATAAGTAAAAAAATTTTCAAAAAAAAATTCAGGCTTTTGAGGGTTAAAATCGCTAAAAGCTACCTCCCCACGACCACGCCCTATAAAGTAATTAATATCTACGACATTTTCTACCGGAAACACGGTAAGCACAATGTGATTAGATCACCAACTTTCATAATAGAAAAAAAATTATATCCATGGGTGCTAACATTTTAGTTAAAAAATAAATAAATAAAAAAAAATAAATATATTTCTTGTTCTTGCTCAATAAATAATATGTAACGCACTGGTGTGCGTGAAGGGGAAGTGAGGGATAAAATAGAGTGTAGTTTGTTTGTAAAACGAAACAGTTAGATCATACTTCATTATAGTATAAGATATAACTAATAAGTAATAAGCCTTCGTGACATTTTGTTTGCTCGAATATCTTGAGAATGATTTAAAATATTTTCTATTACGTATTTTTATTATAGGCTATAGCTAATCGTTTTATGACAATAACAATTTTTTTCTTTATCTATTTGTTAAGTGTTATTAATTTTTATTGAACACGCAGTGTTATAATATTACATGCCTGAGATACTTCAATGTTTGTTTATCAAGACATGAAGTCTTTAAAAAGTATAATAATCTTCACCTGAGCTCTGTTTTCTAACTGTATTTGATGCTATAATTTTCCGACATTGTTCGTCGTCCATGTCTGTTAAGAAATGAACGGGGGTCATGGATTTTCTCGACGCTGACGATTTGGTGGATGTCAAAGGAAGTGTCTGTTGATTGGATATGTACGAAATTTCTGAAAAAAAAAAAAAAAAAAAAAACATTAACATTTTTAATATTTTGGAACTATAAACACCGTCCTGTTTTTATTTGTTTAGTGGCGATGAATGTTTACAGTGAAACAGGACTGTTTAAATATAAATAGGAAATCTGAATAAAATGAATTTCATTTTCGTTACCGTTAAAAATCAGTATAATATTACATTACGTATTTTCATATTCATATAATCATGTTAAAAATATACTAAAAAACACAATCCGTCCAAAATGAATCGGAGCTATCAGTGCGTGTAATATTCATTAGGTATTATGGTATTTTCAGTTAATAAAACTTAAAACAAATTATTTCTTCATTCAATTACGTCGACTTGTATGCATAATAGTATGGTATACTATATGCCCTTATGATTATATTTATAACAATTATAACATGTTTCTACTCGATCATTGATTGCAATACCTAAGTAAAACTTTTTTCATTTGATGATTTGATTCTGTTAATCTTAAAGATCATAAATGCATACATTTTTGTTTTAAGTAAACGGAATATTATTATAATAATTAAAATTAAATAATTAGTTGGAAAATATGTAATAGTTTCAATTTTATTATATAATTTTCTTTGTTTTAAAAATATTGCGTTATATTAAACGTAAAATTGTTAGGAAAAATGACAATTGTATAACCGATATGAGTATTTAATTTGTTCTTGATTAAATATTTTGTTACAATAAGACTTGATAGTCTTACTTTCAAAAGTATTAAGTTCATATTGCATATAAAACATTCATGTATCGAGTATTGTTAAAATGCTGATAAAATTGTGCGTTGAGTAATTGACTAGTTATTCAAAACTTATGATTTCATTCACTTAAATCCGTATACTTAATGAATATCAAACAAAAAACTAAGTTATTAGGTATCTAACCTAACCTATTCGTGTTGTAATTTTCTGTTCGCATATCTATAACTAATTGATTTATGATTATTAAAATGAGATGGGAAGGGGATTTTCGCGAGTTGTAAATAAAGTTTTAAGTATACTTATTATGAATAAAACGAATTTTTTTCACGATCTCGCGACAGTCTATTTTGACGAGACTCTTAGCTGTTTCTATAATAATAGTACCTTTATGTTATTAAACATATTTCTAACAACATTTAGTTGATAAATTCCAATATGACGGTGTAGGTATAGCCGCAACAGTCTCACTTACCATAGGATTTGTCGATCGACAGACCGTGTATGGCGTTGTGATCGGGCGTTTCGTAACAATCAGTCTGACTCAGGGCCCTGTGGTGCGTGGGCGTCCGGCTGCCGGATGGCGTTGTTTGCATCACGCTGAACGTCGCGTACGGACACACGTCGTAGTCGATGCTTTTGCTGCCGCCACCCGTGAACATCTTGTCCACGGAATTGTCCCTTTTACTCCTTTGCAGCGTGGACGTCGCGTACTCAACTTGTTTGTCAGCCTCGTAACTGCATTTCCTTTCGGCCAAACTGCTCGACCTCCTTCTTCGCGAGTACTGCGCCCCGTCTTTTTTCCTGTCCAAACAGAATGCATATACGGTCAACGCTGTAGCATAATATACATTATAATATACGCATTCGCTTCAACGGCAATAAAACATAATAATATGCATGATAAACTTATATACTCGAACTAATGAAAAAAAAACACCCGATGATAGTGTTCTTGTTTCATTTTAAAATTAAATTGCAATAAGTAGATAGACATTTTTCAATAGTGACGATATTAAAAATACTATGAAAATAACACATTGAGATCCTTTGAGAAATTTTAAAAATCGCATTACATATCAAAATAGGGATTTTTTTGTGGGGAAGGGGGAGAAGGTGAAAAGTATTTACTTGGAAAATTCATTTTTTATTAAAATTATAATTAAAAGACTTATCAATAATTTTATATAGTAACTAAGTCTTCCGCAAGATTTTCAATTCTTCTTTAAAAAATAATATCAATCGCTTATCTCAACAATACCACATATTATGCAGGTCCTACATTTGTTATAAAATTCTCCATTCAATCTTCTATATTTTCTCAAATTCAATTTCTTTCTTTCCAAGTCTTAGTTATATCATTAATTATAAACTATATTCTTATCATAATTTCGGAAATTTATCTTCTCCCCCCAGACATAATTATTTTAATTCAATTTTATTCAATTTTTCTCCCTTGAACATTAATTTATATATAGTAGGTAAGTGATGATTTTATTTCAAAAAATCATCAGTGATATTATCTTTTCAACAACCTAAAAAGAAACTCACTATTATTATGTTATCAATTCACAAAAACATACGGTCAATAAAAAAGACATCATACTTTTAACATATACACCAAACTCTATCATTATAGACTGCATATTTTTTTTTTACTTCTGAACTTCAATCATAATTATGTTTCACAAACCTAAAAAATATCTCGATTATAATATAAACTGAATAATGATAGTAATATTCAGTAATACTGCTATATATTATTATGATACACCATCTACCTAACACTCGATAATCTTAGGTTATATTATAAGTTGTATTTAATAAGTGCATTGTTATTTTACAAGCAATGGTATTGGTTGCGTATTAAAAATAAACGCATATAGACCGATTTTCACGAGTAGATACCAAAACCGATAGACGGAAAAATAGTGAAACACGCTATACGTGGATGACGGTCTATCTTGAATAATATAGATATTGATTATCAGGAGATGGGTTTACATATTATTATACTTATCTAATATTTATTTTGTTTTATCGACACACGCGTAGGTGCATTAATACCATCGACTGTATTTATATCAGAACCTGATGGTTTTGTAGTCGTATGAACATATATTTACGTATATATTATGTACTATGCAGTATTGTATTTTTTTATATGTAATACGCTTTCAAGTATTTTGTTCTACAAATAACGTCATCGTTTTTCTCGTATATACAATTATAATATTATATACTTACACATTTATTTACATACGCGGGTATGTGAGTGTGTGTGCTCTGTGTATGTGTGGAAGGAGGGGTTTAGATGAGTGTGTGAGTAAGTGTAACGTGGTAAATTATTTATTGTGTATACATCATTTTATTTGTTTTCTTTTTTTACCTTCTTTGAACTACTACACATATACATATGCAAAACGACACGACGCAAACGAGCGCGGAAGCTGCCGGTACGTATTTGTGCATTTCCGCAAAATTTGGTATGCTCAAGTTATCGTCGTCATCGATGATGCCACCGTCGTTACCGTACACATCTAACGGTATTAATTCTGAAATTATAGTCCACAGTAAATAATATTATTTAATATTTCATAAAATAATGTAGTGTAAATAGTAATATAGGGTTATACGCTTTAAGAAAAGTTTATCAGCCGCCAGACTAGGGTACGATAATTTACACTTAGTCGTTTGATGTCATTATCTTGTATTGGTTATTTATATTTATGCACTTAAGCGAATAAATAAGTATTAAGTAATAAGTAATAACGAATAATATTAGATTTACGAGTAGTACTCACTACTCAGTACTCAGAGATACTTGAAAAATAGTTATGAAAAGTTAGGTTATTCTCTTCAAAATATTAAGTTTTTCACATCCCTGTAAAATTTACATACGACTTAAAATATAGTAATATCTAAAGACCGACAACCCACTAAAAACCCCACACTTCTAAAAGGTACTTCTAAAATATGAATTTAACTATTATTTTATAACGAATATACGATAAATCAATTACGATACCTACTCGCTTACCAGCATTCATTTTTACAATAATTTAAAATATAAAATGCGCAACTGCGTAAGTACCCATAGCTAATAATCAATAGAAATAATATTTTAACTTTTTCATGGTATGATGTAAACATTGTAAACTGATATTCTTAAAT